ACATTAGTCTATGCAAAAATAGTTGAAACATTGAAAAATATTTAGGAATTTCACGCGCATGCGCATGAAAGCTGAATTCAAAACACTGAAAGGTGAATATCTTTCCGTGATTCCCGAGATAATTTTCCCGCAAAAAAATTCACTAGCCCGTAGGTGACACCCGAGAGCGCAGGAACGCTGAATTTGAAAGGGCAAGGTTGAGTGTGAGCAGGCGGTCATTACTCTAAAATTTCAGCTTCCTATACTCCATGGTTCCCGAGATAATAATTTACACGTAAAATCTTTGACTAGCCCATAGTTGATACCCGAGAGCGCGGGAACGCTGAATTTGAATGGGCAAGGTTGAGTGTGGGCAGAAGGTCATTACCCTAAAATTTCGGCTCCCTAAACTTTGTGGTTCCCGAAATAATAATTTACCCGTCAAAAATTTTCACGGGGCCGTAGTTGTTAGGCAAAGCTGAATTTAAATTTTCTGGGTAGTATATGGCGGGGAAATGCTCACAAAATTTCAGCCTTCTACCTTCCGTGGTCCCCGAGATACTGATTTTATCCGCAAAACTTTTACGAGGCATACATGTTACCCGCGGGTACGGGAAGGTTGAATTTTAGTTTGCCGCGTCACCCGTTGGCGGGGAACACTATACTAAAACTTCAGCCGCCTAGCTTTTGTGATTTCCGAGTTCAAAGTGCGGGACAAAACGTGGGACACAGACACAGACACACACAAACACGCACAGACAACCCCGTGACAATATGCGTTTTGTACTGCTATTACATAGTACAAAACGCATAAAAAGGGCATAAGACTGAAATGAAAAAAAAAAAAAAAACAAAAGCAAACCGGTGTCCGAGAGATCAGCATTGGAGGCCGAGCGACTATTCGATACAGATGACGATCGACTACTGTGCTCTGCTGCCGCTGGAGGGCCCGAGTCCCAGGTGTCACGAATTTCAGTAAGCAGTAACTTACACAGTGCCTTAAAGCAATAAATTAGCAAAAGGGCCCAGCCAGAAGAGTGACAGTTTAGGCGCATATTTTGATCGATTGCATTGCTTTTTATTTGAGATATAATAAGCCAAACTTTCGGTTTAAAATCGGCCTAATACATTACTGTGCGTTTTGTGCTGTGTAACAGCAGTACAAAACGCATATTGTCACGGGTTGTCTGTGTGTGTTTGTGTGTGTCCGTCCGCAGCAACCTGTCCGCAGCTTTCAACTCGGGAACCACAAAACGTAGGAAGCTGAAAATTTAGGGGAATGTTCCCTACCAACGTGTGACCCCGCAAATTTAAATTCAGCCTTCCCGTACCCGCGGGTAACACGTATGGCCCTGTGAAAGTTTTTTACGGGTAAATTAATATCTCGGGAACCACGGAGTTTAGCAGGCTGAAATTTTAGGACAATAACCATCTACCCAAACTCAATCTTGCCCATTCAAATTCAGCCTTCCCGTACCCACGGGTAACACATATGGCCCCGTGAAAGTCTTTTACGGGTAAATTAATATCTCAGGAACCACGGAGTCTAGTAGGCCGAAATTTTAGGGTAATGACCCCCTGCCCACGCTCAACCTTGTCTATTCAAATTCAGCGTTCCCGCGCTTTTGAATATCACATACGGCCTCGCGTGAAAATTTTGGCGGGTAAACTATTAACTCGGGAGTCACGGGAAGATATTCACCCTTCAAGCCTTCGAATTCAGCTTTCATACGCTGGTGCGTGAAATTTTTAACTATTTTCCAATTTTTGAACTATTTTTGCATAGACAAAAGTACAAAGCAGTGGAGGCAATCGTTCGATGGGCTGAATTGCACAAAACGCATGATCACACCGGCTAGTCTGGTGCGCGTTAGCAATCGTTCGATGGGCTGAATTGCACAAAACGCATGATCGCACCGGCTAGTCTGGTGTGCGTTGCTATTTATTATGTCGATGGGCTGAATTGCACAAAACGCATGATCGCACCGGCTAGTCTGGTGCGCGTTGCTATTTATTTACATAGAAAGCAACAGCATCCACCTATGAGAGTATCGTCAGAAAATATCAAGATATCACTGGAGGATACAGGGAGAGATGCAGTAAGATGACTAATGTTCTCTATCACAGCCAACATTCGCTCGTTGCTTTCATTAGCGACTATTTTTCGTAACTGTACATTGCTAATTTTCACACCGAAGTACTGGAGGGCTAGCTACAGTCACTCCGATCGATCGGGGGATCGGCTCCGTTCCTGTGCTTAGTTTAATCTCCCTTCTTATAACCAATTCAGCAGACAATCTTGTATCAAGTATGAAAATTTTACTCCTACGGCCGTCGTATTCCCTTCACCACCAAGAGTTTGTATAAATTCAAAGCCTTCCCTTCTCTTTTTCACTTCGCCCTCCTCTTCTTTTTCTTTCCCCTCATTTTTTACCTTACCTTTAAATTACTCCAGTGACTTGCAATAAACCCACGTAAATGGACTGTAGAAGTACTAAGAGTAATGGAATAAGCAGAAACTAGCTGGCAAAATTGTTACCGCTTACATCCTCCATGGAATCGTTGTTATATGCCTTGTTTAGAGCTTTCCAAAAAAAAAAAAAAAACAAAACTCAAAGGTAGTGCTGCTGCAAAATGAGAATAACAAACGATCACCTGATAAGTTCCGAATTCATAGGCCTTATAGGCGTTGAGAATACCTTCTGAAAGGCACTTCTCTTCGCAATCTTCGGTGCCAACATTATTTACCGGATCGTGCGCTTCGAAAGTACCATCAACAGTAACATGTCTCTCGTCTACAAAGTCCATATAGGCGCCCTGAAAAATAGCCTCATTCCGAGAATAAGCGCCCTTATTCTGAATGTATCAGCGACGAGATTATTTTGCATTAAAAAAGAAAAAAAAAACAGCTGAACCAACCTGCAACACGTAAAGAATGCATCTTGCGGCATTGAGGCGCACATTCGGCTCAGTACGTTCCAGTTGCTCCAGCAAACCCAGAAACACATTCCTCTGCTGAAGATCCGTCAGAAGCGACCATATGTGATCAATCTGAAACAACTACACCAATATTGGACAATGTGCACCATGACAGCAGTCGTTGCGTGTTTAATGGATGATTACTTGTGAAAAATACTTCCTCCCATTTTGAAAGGGTAAATCCTGGCAAAATATCTGCGCAGAGCTGCCAATCATACTATTCCGTTTAACAGAATGATCCCTCAAGTTTCAGTTCATATTCCATGGAAACTGATCAAGGAATATTGTCACTTTTTCTGCTGCTGTTACAGGATAGCCAGCCCTCAGATCAGTAGTTCACCGAAATCCCACACTGAGCAGAAGAAAAAACTAATTTTTTGAAACAGGTTAAAATACTTAAAGACTAACTTTTCAACTGAAAGTCATCGAAAAGTGGACATTTTAATGCAGTTTTTCTCAGAAGCGTCAACATACTGCATTCTCAGAAGCGTCAATACTGCATAGAGGGCAAAATAAGAGTGATGCTTCAGTTTCTACTCACAGTAGCAACATATGTGAGAATATTAAGGAGTGATAAATTTAAATCAAGAATGAATTGAAATGTAATTTCTTCCACTAATTCAGAGAACTAAAATCTTAATTTGTCACCAAGAATACCAAGACCGATCGGGCTAACAGATGTAGGATCTCTCGTTAGTGATGTTACTAGGATGCTCCCACACGCCAAGCGCAGCCATGTCAGGCCCTTCGATTCTGGGCTATATCCCGGGCTTCACCATGAGTGTATAAAAAATATAATAAATAGCAACGCGCACCAGACTATCCGGCGTGCGCCATCATGTGTTTTATGCGATTCAGCCCATCGAACGATTGCCTATTAATGATTTTCACTGCTTTGTACTTTAGTCTATGCAAAAATTGTTCAAACATTGGAAAACAATTAAAAATTTCACGCACCAGCGCATGAAAGCTGAACTCGAAACCTTGAAGGGTGAATATCTTTCCGTGACTCCAGAGTTGATAGTTAACCCACCAAAATTTTCACGAGGCCGTAGGTGATACTCAAGAACACGGGAACGCTGAATTTGAATGGGCAAGGTTGAGCGAGGGCGGGGGGCCATTACCCTAAAATTTCAGCCTCTCAGACTCCGTGGTTCTCGAGATATTAATTTACCCGTAAAAAACTTTCAGGAAGCCATACGTGTTACTCGCGGGTACGGGGAAGCTGAATTAAAGTTTGCGGGGTCACACGTGGATGGGGAATGTTCCCCCTGAATTTTCAGCCGCCTAGCTTTTGTAGTTCCCGAGTTAAAAGTTGCGGACAAGTTGCTGCGGACACACACACACACACAACCCACACACAGACAACCCCGTGACAATATGCGTTCTGTATTGCTGTTACACAGCACAAAATGCATATGTAAAAGGTTAAAAGCGAATGGAGGAGAAGGGGAATAGAAGCATACAAAATACGCAGTTCATCAGCATTTTTCGTAGAAGAGAGTGGCACTGAAATTAACGCATGCCTGTTTGGATTCGACGTAATTCTGGAACGCATGCATATTGAGCGACCAATCCTCCACTTCGCTGTAGGTGTATAATTCGGCCAGTTCGGCGGCATGCGTGTCGCAGTCCGAATACACAAATTCAAAATCGTTCATTTCATAGCGCGCCTTAAAATATAAAAAGTACTTGGGTTTCAGTGATGTATCGAAGACAGCAACAAGCATCATTCTGTGGAAGGCGCTAAAACTGTCTGTGAATTTTATATTATCAATCTTGTTCTGGGAAGGTGCGCTCGAATCGTTAGTAAAAAAGAAATTCGGAAAATTTGGTAAAGAAGAGTAAAAATTAGCCGAAAACGTGCTAACATTTCTCCAAAAATATTAGGCTATGCTAAAAATGGAGATGGTCAGAAATGCTACACTCAGTGCCGGAGCTTAAGAAACATCACATCAAGAGACGAGAAAAAAAATACTTCATCAAATGGACGTCGAAAAAAAAGTCATAATGTGATACCGAGTTGAAAGCCTCTTACAAAAAACGACAGGGACAAAATACAAACTACCGAAAGATCGCCGCTCAGCGGCCGTGGATTGTTTCCAATTTCTTTTAGCTTTGGAAGCTGCGCAGAACGCCGCTGGGCCAATGCCGATTCGCACATATCCGGTGACATATCATCAACTTCGTCGTGCTCCTCCTGCTTTGACGACGCTGCATTTGCACCATACACTGCAATTATACAAAATTTATCAGCCTAACAAATAAGAGCATGTAAATTTAAGCAGTGCTGTATTTCCTTTCCCTGAAGAGCCGCCAGAAGTCTTCTATTAATTCCAATAGAGTATTTCAAAACTGCTTGCGTGTACGGCGAAGAAAAGAGCAGCACTGTTGCCGAGCAGAAGACCGAGAATCCGACTCTACCAGTAGGACAACCAGTCCCTCTTCAGTTCATTCTTTTTAATGATTAAGGGGTAGGGGTGCGCGCCAGAGAGTCAAAACCGCCATCAGCTTGCTTGTAAGCAATTCTTAAACGAAAAAACAGTCGACAGCCTTGCTATTGAGAGACTGTCATTTGTCATCTCCCGAACCCACCGCTCAAAGACATTGCACAGAAAGGGCTTCTTGGAATTCAAAATACCTACCAGTTCCTAAAGCTGTAGCATTATCAATATTAAAATAATTATTTCGAGCTTTAATACAAGCTTTTAGAGCAATTATTGCTTTATAAATCAGAATGGGACATACCAGGTATGCCGGCGCGATTATGCTTTTTTGCACC